GAAGGAAGGAAGGAAGGAAGGAAGGAAGGAAGGAAGGAAGGAAGGAAAGAAAAATAGAAAAAGAAAAATTAGGGTTGAGTTTTATGAGTTTTACTAAAAAGGGAGGGTGGCGTGGCAGCCACTAGGTGGCGCCGTGAGTCCATGCTGCTGCTCTATTGGGGTGTACTGGCAATTACAAAATTGCATTCTCTTGATTTTTCTAAGTGTACTTGCAATTAAAAGAAATAAGGTCAACAGGATTTATTCTAGAAATTCTCTTGAAATGTTCCTAAATTCAAGGTTATAGGCTTTTATATGCTAACATAATACTACAGTTTTTAAGTGTAAACACTAAATATTTATTAAAGTATTAAAAACTGCTTCAAGTTACTTCTATTTGTAACAAATGAATATTTCACTCAACAGTAAAGTCAAACTGTGTAGTATAACGAGATGACTAACATAAAATATAAAATAGAAGGATATCTTTCCATGATTTTGACTATCACCCAGAATTAGTATCATATTTATCTACAAAGTTAGAAGGACATTTACATAGTAACTTGCTAAGTGATTTTAATTTTCTTTCAATTTAACTTTAAGACTTTTTCTTCCCTTAAAAGCTGATAACTTTTCATTATTAGGAAGTGAAAATCTCCTTCACCGTGTATCACACGGCTGGCCTCCCTCTATGTCTGTGCTGACAGTCTTAGGTACTCAGTACATTTCCCATAGGGAACACACTAGAGAACCATGCCCTCTGTATTACAGTGTTAATAAAAAAGACACAGCTGCATCTGTTTCGTTCTCAGTGAACAGTTTAACTTTGCATTAAAATGTATTCACCTGCACAGATTGCAAGACTGTACATATGAGAGCCTGCCTCCTGGGTACAATATGCAAGTCCTAGGTGCAACGCCTTCAGTAGGATGCCAACAATGGTCCTCTAGTCCTTACTTCTAAAATCATGTTACTTAGCACACTGCCAGTAAATGTCAACACGAAAGTACAGAGCTTGCTGAACGACGTCACTCTGTAACAGTAATATTCCGGAACAGAAAGTTACCAAGAAAATTGAAAGAGAAAATCATTACAATTACAGCTTAAAATATTAAAAGTATTTATTTAGGAAAGAAAAAACCTCAATTATCAAATAGAGTTCAAATTCTTAATAAAATATTACAATATATTAAAATTATGTAAGGCATTCTTAAATATACCATGTATAAGTAGCCAAAGTCCTAGAGATGTTCATGCAAAAAAGTCTATAGTTAGCGACTCGAGCATTTCAGTAGCTCCGCAGTCTCTTCAAACCTGAAATAGAACAAATGACATATCAGCTAAGTGCACAACTCGTAATGTAACAGGCTTGAAGCTCTTAGACATATGCTTCTGAGCCTAAGATAAACCTGAGTGTTTTCCTTATTTTAGGCAGAGTTAATATTAATACATAGAAATAGAACAAACATAAATCAGTCAATTCTTGTAGCATAAATTATTTTAGAATTTTTCAAATGTCGAGTTTTGTAGCTTTTTATGGTAGTAGGGTATAAAACATTTTGATACCATTTCATCATTTATTTCCTTTAATCCACTCTTTGCTAAAATTAGATATAATATTACTTGTCCCTAGTAAAAGCATCACCGTGGTACTGCATCGATAGCTCACTGGAAACACAACATAATTTTGAAGCCTAACATAATATTAAAAATGTCTCCCAACTATCATAATGTTTTGGTCAATCAATTATCAGAAGTAGAGAAATCTGAATTAATGATCAGCCAAAGCATCTTTGCCCTTTGTAACCCATAGTAAATTCTGTGATTCGTGTTTTACACGGCTTACTGGAAACCAAAGCAGTGACTCATCTCACACACGCCCAACCGGAAGTAGATTTACTGTCCACTGGAGCCTTGAAGGAAATTCCACACTGACTGAGCCTCACAAGGTCTAAAACACATGTGTGCATCCGCATACCACACTCCAGTACAGTTCCCTACAGAGAAATGATTTCTGTTGCCCCTTTCTGTTACTTACATTTTTTTCATCCTTTCCATTTTCTGGATTGTTGTTTCCTTTAATTTAAAAAGCAAAAAATTTAGGCAATTTCTCAAAGTAAACAATCCTCAAAGAAGGACCATGAATATATGAAACGTACTCTGAGACACCGCATAAGAAGATTCGTCAACACAAAGAACCCTTGAGAGAGGAAACTTAGAATTTTAGCATTTTTCTAGCCAACAGTATATGTTACATAGTATTTACTAAAAATGATACTTTCTTCTTCTCTACCTTAGAAATCATCTAAGCAGTTGACAGCTTCTCTTACCTCTGAAAAATCTTTCAGTCCACAATAATGAACAGTGGAGGCCCTGGACATTGATTCTGGTGACACTGTGCTATAGCCAGATGAGCGGTATGTACTGGCTGGTGCCCCCACACTGTATTGTTTATCTGTGAAGAAAGTACATTTTATAGATATCTTTCCACTACATAGTCAAATATTTAAAATTTTATTTACAGATAAATTAATTTAAAATGGTTATGGTATAGTTAAAAATGAGTTAATACTTTGTATACAAATGGAGACATATGCTAAAAATTCTCTAATAATTTCAAAGTACATTTTTGTGTACCACTCTGTGGTACAGGCTTGAAATCACATGTACTTGAGAAACTGAGAAGAACCATGAGTTCAAGGATGACCTAGGTAATATAGCGAAACCCGTCTCAAACCTAAAAAAAAATCCAAAAGCATTTTACCTTTATCATGACAGAAAACATTTAGAATGAACAGGAATGTTAGTAATTTAAACTACAAAGTACTTTGGGCTGGAGTGATGGCTCAGTAGTCAAGAGTACTTGACTGTTCTTCCAGAGGACCTGAGTTCAATTCCCAGCAATTCCATGGTGGCTCACAACCCATCTGTAATGGGATCTGATTCTCTTTTCAGGTGTGTGTGAAGACAGAGCACTCATGTAAAAAAAATACAGACACACACACACACAAAACAAACAACAACAACAAAAACAACCAAGAATGAAAAGCCTTGAAAAAAATAAACCATAAGCTATGATATAGCAAGGTCGAAGCACTTCACACTTGCCTTATCACTGCTTTGCAGCTAGTGGCAATCATTACTAAAACTGATTATACTTATTTAAAAGGGGTGTGTGTATCTCAAGAGGGATCCAATCTTGAGCTAATTATATGGGAAACAAATTAGGAAAACAAAGTCTAGTTTCTTTTTTTAAATAATAAAAAGCCTTATATTAGGTGTCTTGATATCAATGAGACAAAACAATGGCACATTTACTTAGTAACTCCATCAGTTATCGAACAGCACACACACGACATACTTCTATCAAATCAATTCTACACATAAGCTCTATAAAGAATAAATTTGGCTACAAAAACAAAGTCAAAAAGAAATCAACATCCTTTTAACCTGGCTTTCATAGCGAGCACTTGTGTGCATTTGCTGATGGCAAAATATAAATACTCAAGGACTAAGAAAATGCCTTTCATCTCATAGAGCCAGATCCTCCTTAGCCATCTTGTCACCTGCTCGAGCGGCTCCTTTTCTTTGTGGAATTGTTTCCTCAGTTTATTCACCCCAATAAACCTGCTCAGCCTGAATGAAACAGTGAGATTGTGCAAGCTTAACACGATCTGACTGACTTATTTCCAGGGCTCCAATTCAAAATTCTAAGGTAGAAGTGTAACTAAACTTGACACCCTTGGGACTGCTATTTACTGAGTTAGAAGCCTACTTGTGATCTAGTTAGCTGAGACTAACAACGTCACATGTTACAGCTCTGAAGACTAGCTAGACACAGGCATTTTTAGCAGGAGCTGTGGGAAATCGGCAATAGTAAGGAATAATTTGAAACTCATCAGGAAATATAACTTCCATGCCTCTAAATACTGTATTACTGTCTTCTGTTTGAGATGTTTTCTGCAAGTTCTGAATACCGTTATTCTGTCCCAAAAGAAGAAAGCATGCAGGGTTGGGGAGATAGTTGAAGGAATGGCTGTCTTCACCCTGAATCTTGGGGTTGAGTTTTGAGGCATGTAGGTGCTTCATGTGAAAGAAAGTTAGTATTAGGCAAGCTAGGAGACTGTTCAGAGAGACATCCCACCAGGGACTCTGGAGCTTATCAACTGCAGTACACACAGAATGACAGCCACATTTAATAGCCAGATCAGCTAAGTGCATATTATATTCATGACAGTTCTTACTGGTTTCCTGCGCTCTATGTAAAACCTTAAGATTTTACTAGCTTAAAGGTGATGGGCTCTCGGCAGTAGTATAGAAGACTAAGAGTTAGGAACTGAGTTCAGGTTGGAACGAAAAGGAAGAGTAGTGACTCCTGACACAAAGCCACTGAAGTTGGAGTTAAGGGAGCATGAGTGGGAGGAATCCCATGTATGCAAGGAATGCTACCAATGCAGGCAGAGACACGAGAGACTACTCAGCTCTCTTCATGTGACCACTGCTCTTTCTCTGCCAACTCTGGAGGGTTATTACATTTACCTATAAGAGAACAAACTGGACTCAGTGGTCTTCAAAAGTTTGCAAGCCAGTGCTTACAAATCAAGACCTAAGTTGTAAAGATCGTTCTGAAATATTTCATACATAATAAATTATATTCAAAAGTGAACTCATTATTATTATTATTATTATTACTATTACAAATCTTCTCCTCCCCTTGCATTCTCCCTTCTCTTAAGGAATAACAACTACCTGGAACCCAATGTAAGGTTGGTCTTGTCCTTTTCTCTCTCCTTCACTGCTTTATATTTATTTTTATATTTATATATATCTGCTTTATATTTATATTTATCAATAACCACAGTTCATTACTGATCCACCCATCTATGTCATCAGATTATCTGCTCTTTAACTTCACAATTAATATCTCAGTAAAATCCTTCATTATTATTCTTGTACTCAAACTGAAGAAAATATACACTTTGGGGAACTACACTTGGACTAACCATATTTCTTTCTTCTGAGAACAAATGTATACAGCAAAGTAAAGCTAAGCAAACTAAAACCAACCTTGATGGTCGGTAGACTCCAGGCAATTAACTTAAGTTACTATATCCTCTAGTAAATAACATTCAGTAGACAACAAACTCATGTGAAGTCATCACAGAAAAGAAAACCACTGTCATGTCTGAAGACTAAACAAGGACACTACACAGTCACAAGACTGACCAGACATGGACCTCACTCACTGAGGGCTTCTCTTCTGCTGGAACTTTCAGTCCCTTTCATTCTTGTCATCGATCACCAAACTATTTCTGCTCCTAAGAGCATATAAAAGCAGGCCTCTCACTTCCTTAAACTGTCTTCACTAGCACCCATTCACCAAGACACAGATGTCTTACAGCTCCCAATGAATCAACATATTTTTGAAAAAGGGAAAAACAAATTTGGTACCTCACAAAATTCCTTTCTTTTTGATCACAATTCTAAGATCAGAATGATACATTTTCATTGTTCTCTGACTGAATGAAACTGCAGCACCTGTGTTTCCACTCACAGGGCGTAGAGTGTAAGGTTCTGGAAACGCAAACCAGTTATTCACTTTAATCATAATCTTAAACCTATTTTGGATAAAAGTTTATCTTACTCTGAATTCTACCTATCACAGTGACTTTATTTGGCTATACATAGTGAGTAGATATTGAAACAGGCAAAATCAAACTTGGAAAAGGCAGAATTCTGTAATAGCAAGCTAAATGCTCTTTAGTGAGCAAATAGCTGGCTAAATGCTCTTTCAATGAGCAAATATTTGAACTTTTAAGATACACACATACTAGAGACAGGAGTTGTAGTTATAGTATTTTTCTGCTAGACAGATTCCAGGACAAAATGTAAACTCTTAAGAATTTTACAGTTGGATTTTGGTATTCGTTGAATGCGTAAGTGACAAATGGAAAAAGTCAGCATGGTACCTGTTCTGAAACCTGCAGTCTATGGAAAATTCAGCAATTTAAAAATCTCAATTGATCTAATGATCAAAACCAACTCTGTGCAAAGACAGCAGTGTCTGCACTGACTTTGTCGTGTTCAGGAAAACTGTAAGAGTTGTCCTGATTCAACTCTGTCCCTCATTCAGCAATTGTGGATTGGACAGTCTGGGTAGTCACCAACTGTTTTCAGTGAAACTCATTTCCTCATCTGGAACATTCACATATGGATAATAATAGTATTTGTTTTACAAGATTGTATTAGGAATTAAATGAGTTAATATAGCAATTAAAACAATGCATTTTGAATATTGTAAAATGCATATTGTTAAATATATAGTAGCTGAAAAGATCGAATGTTATTAGATATATTACTGAAGTTTAATTTCATGATAAATTCTCAGCTACAGAAGTTATCTTTTTATGAACATAATTTAATTATAATATGAGATAAAATGTAGGCCTTTGCTTTTTCTAAATTATAAGACTCAAGAGAATAAAAGCTTTTGTTGCGACCAGAGATCCCTGATGCTCAGAAGGATGGAAAGCATCACTAGGACACTGTGACATGGGAAAGGCCACTCTGGTTCTATACCATTCTCATTTTCTTACCGTCAGTACGTGGGTCACATAAGGCACTTGACAGGTTTCTGAGAAATGTATTTTCTTTTGTCATGTTTCTCATTTATGAACAAGAATGTTACTACTTAGGATTAACGTTAGAACTTTTAGAGCTCTGTTTTTCTTATTCAATGGTCCTGTGCTATTCTAGAACGATTAAAAAGTGAAACTCCCCCAAAGTCTGCAAGCTATGTCCTGAATGATATATAGTCTGGTTTTATAAGCAATTCTTAGCAGTCTGTGGTTCACTGTTTTCTTTGTTCTAAGACATATGTAATTTTATTTTAAGAAAAATATTTAATAAGAAAATGGGGATATGGTTCTAGTCAAGTCCTTGCTAAACTTGATTTCCAAAACCATGTTAAAAAAAAAAATCAGATGAAGTAGTTTGTATCTACAATCCCACTAGTATGGTAGCAGAGACAGGAGGAGCCTGGGAGTTTGTTGGCTAGCAAGCATAGCCAAGTTGGTGAGCTCCAGCCTCAGCAAGAGACTTTATCTCAAAGAGTAATGTGGAGAGCAACCGAGAAAGAAGCCTGATACGGATCTCTGGCTTCCATACAAGCACATGCAAGCGCATGTACGAACACACACACACACACACACAAACACACACACACACACAAACACACACACACACAAACACACACGAATGTGAAAGATGCCAAAGGTCCATAAAAACTACTGTTCAGGAAATATATGCAAGTCAGCAATACTAATACAATTTATGAACTTACCAAAGGGCACATTATCCAAGCCACTAACAGAGTCATAATCTTCACTTGCTGCATTAAACTCTACGCATTCATTCTGGAACATACAGGTAAATATTTAGAATAAAATGAAAGGTGATTCAATTTATGCCACTTAACATAAAATATAAGCAAAGCACAGGGAATGTTTAGTTTTAATAAATTTATTTATCAATAATAAATAATTATACTTCTGCATAAAAAAACAATCACTTAAGTGTGGAAGCAGAGAGTAACCTTGAATCTCTAACTCCAGTCTCTAAAGACAACTAGAAACCGAAACCCTAAGAAATAAGACATATTTCTCAGACTCCGTAAGGCAATGGTAAACGTGGTAGTCTGAATAAGAATGGTCCCATAGGCTCATGTATTTAAATGTTTAGTCACCTGCGGGGGGGCGGTACTCGAGAAGGATCAGGAGGTATGGCCCTGTTGACGCAGCAATGGCCATGTTGGAAGAAGCACATCAATAGGGGAGCTTTGGGCTTTCAAATGCCCATGTGAGGCTCAGTTTCCCTTTTCCTCTGCCCCTCTAAGCCTGTGGATCAGGATGTAGCTCTCAGCTACTGCTTCAGTGCCGGTCATGCCCCCTGCCATGATGCTGATAACAGACTAAGCCTCTCAAACTGTGAGCCAGCCCCTAAATGTTTTCCTTCATAAGAGCCGCTAGTGACTAAGACAGTAAATTTAGTAACTGTTTCTATGAATTCACCTTACGATTGATGTTAATGTGTAAAGAAGAAGTTTCAGTTTTAAGTCTTCTATAACTTTTCCTGTAAACTGGAGAAGTTTTGTTCTACTAAAATACACAAAATAATTTTAAGTTTTTCAAAACATTCTTACCTCACTCTAAGTATTCCAAGCACTATTAATCAGAAAAGCTCAATTTACAGGTTTCATAAATTATGTTATTTGATAGAAAAAATAGCTGCAGGAAGTATAAGAAAACTTGTTCAGCTGAAGTAGACTTTATTCTAACCAAACATTTTCTATTTCCTACGGAGCCTCATGTGTAGTGGTTTCCAAAAGAATACAGATGTCACTAAGATGAGCACTGCCCTGCACTCGAGGAACTTCACACACTGACTACCTTCTTAGACAGCAGCAGCTCCGTCTCAAGAAGAGTGACTCGGCTCACGAGGTTATTCCAGGCCTTCTCATCGACCATCACTTTCCCTTTTGCTGTGGCTTCCAAACACTCAAGCCTTTTCTCTACCCAGGTCAGCCTCTTAAGCTTTTCTTGGCATTCAGCAAGTGCGATCTGAAGAGCAATAATCTCAGGATTATCACATACATCCTGAAATGACAAACAGGATTCCAGATGATATAAAGTGACAGTCCTTTGAAAAGGATTGATGTACTTCCACTTCCTTTGTTTTCATAGCTAGGGAAGGAACACAGTATGGAACTAGGAGCTCCCCCTGTAAAGAGCAGTGGGCTTTAACATCCCTCCAGGTAGACAGCAGTGGGCCTTACCAGGAGGCTATGAGATGTGGCTTTGACGACTTCATTTTCACAGCGTCTACCTATGAGTTAACCTGTATGATGCTCTTAGACAAGGCAGTACAATTCAACTATCATTTGCTAGTTTTTTAGACAATGCCTAATACAAATCCAAGAGGAAATAAGCAAATGACAATATGCAGATTACCTAGAGTGCCATATAGTAAAAAGTAGGCCCATAAATAAAATTTCAGAAATCCAACTGTAATCCAAAATGTATAGAAATAACAATACATGTGCATTTTAGCAGAAACAGTAGAGATTATATACATAATGGCATTTGTGTCAGCAAGGAGTAATAGAAATGATAGAACAGCAAGTAGTCAGGAAGGATAGTGCACATCTATAAGACACCACACAAAAGGCTAGGCAGGAATTTAACACAAATGTGAAGCCACTTTGGACTACATAAAGTTGGCCAAGGCTACACAGTGAAAATACAAGGCTACACGGCCCTTGGAGAAAATACAGCAATGACTCACCAAAGAGAAAACAGGAATAAAATGCCAAGCTTTTCTATTTGCCAACAGAGGAAACAAGTGGTAGAAAACTGCACTCTGCAAAGGGCACAAGTCTCTGGCTCGAGCATAATTTCCCTGGGCATACCATCTCTTACCTCTGTTTGCTGTACTTCGAACTCAGGGGAACCTCCAAACAGATCTGACAAGTGGAATTCACTGAATCACATTTAGTAAGATTGACTGGCTCTTAAGTTATAACACCTATGTCATAATTTAAGAGTTCAGAAATATTCCAACTTTCAAACACTGAAATAATCAGATACTGAAGAAATCTGTCAAAGAGGTCCTCGGCCCTTACTTTCAGCTCAGTCTTGACATCAGAGGCCTGCTCGTCAGGAATCACGATATCGGAGGCCTGCTCCTCAGCAATCTCGATGTCAGAGGTCTGCTCTGAATCTTCACACCCTTCACTCACTTCTGCCGAACTTCCTGTTCCTTCAGGCATGTCAGCGCTGTCTTCAGTGTACAAGTGGCGGATCACCACAGCTTTTTTCTGCATAGAGACGAGCATGGGAGAACTAGTTCAATGGTGTCACTGCACAATTACTTTCTGTATACTCAGAGTAATTCTCTAGACTATGAATATTTAAAACATTTAAATTACCACATACAATGTATCACAGCACAACATGTTAATATTTATATATTTTATATGTGTTGGTGAAATTGTGGTTCACCTTTTAAAAAGCATTTTTATGTCTTAGGTTAAACACTAAAATATACTTTAAACATATCTAGGTTTTTTCAATATGCTGGAGAAAGTGGTTATAGAAAAGATGAAAGAGAATTAGTAAAGATTTGATTAATTGTTGAAACAGGATGATCTGTGCTTTTGTAAATGTTTAAAGTATTACATGATAGAAAGTTAAAAACAAACAAACAAATGAAGAAAAAAATATATTAGGTGTGGTAGTACACAACCATAATCCCAGCACTCAGTAAGCCCATGCAGAATTATAAGGTCCAGGCTAGTCTGAGCTATACAGTGAGACTCTGTCAATGAATAAATAAACAAAAGTTGTGACATAATTTATAAGTTAAATAATCAACAACTACATATTATAAATATTACTATAAATATTATAGTGAAGACACACTATAATATTTTCTATTGAACAAATCACAATATACATTTTACCTTCAGCTAAAAGTTCAAAACACTGAAAAAGCGGAAGTACTAACAAGGACCTCACACTAACCCTTTACCCACTCTTTATGCCTATGCACTGTCCGTACAGACACTGAAAACCCCTATCATGTGACAAAGAAATCATAAAATGCATCCATATGAGATGAGGCATCAGGAAGAAGACAATTAGCTTCAGTACTGACTCACCTTCTGTCGATAAAGAAATATATTTATAAATTCTATCAGTCTTGGGGCAGTTATTCAAGCTCTTGGTAGTAAGTCTCTGCTAGGCATGTATTTTGGATTAGACAATAAATCATTCTACTTATTTAAGTAGATAAATACTACTTAATTAATAGTTAAGTAATAATAATTACTTAACTTAATTAATAATTAATTTATTAATATTTATTAATAAAATACTTATAAGTATTTTACTTATCTAGAAACATTTAACATCTTTATCTAATTGCACACTGGTTATGTGTCTCTACTCTGTCTTCTCACCCAGGAGTGAATAGCTGGAAGCACATTTATTATACTTTGAGCCCCCTCGGATATGGAAAACGCTATCTCTACATGTATTACATTCATTAGCCACAGATGCTCATGGCAGACAACGGCAGAGACAATCTATACCTAGGAATAAAGAATACCCAAAACCAGTTATTAGATAATCTATATTCTAGGTTATTAATGCATCTAAGTGGATCGTTATAATCACTCTTCTTACTAAGGGGTTGTTACTACACATGCATCCCTTTTTAGGGATGATCAGGTTTGTAATTAAGAGCATATGCTCAGGGGCTGCAAAGATGCTCAGGTTAAGAACACTTACGACAGAGGTTTGATTTCCAGCACCCACATGGAGGCTCACAACCACCCATGACTCTTGTACCAAGGGATTTGATACCCTCTTCTGTTCCCTTCTGGTACACATACATATAACATTAAAAGAAAAACACACGCACACATATTTTAAAAGAGTAGATGCCAACACCTCTGTAATATAACCTTATTAATTTTATCTAGGAAATAGATTGAAAATTAGAAAGATAAAGTCCAATCATTTTTTTTTCAGTTTTATACTCTTCTGCTGAGACTATTTGAGGGTAGAGAAAGGAAGGGCAGTGGGGGTGGATGTGACCAAAGTACTTACATAAAGAAATGAAATAAACTAATAAATACTAATAAAAATGCCTTGCATACTGTGGTGTCTGACCACAATGTGTCACCAAACGCCAGTAGGAGAAGAATTTTTACTGCACTCAGATATGCTCTGTTCTTTCTATTGTCATACCTTCCCTGAAGTCATGAACCTGCCAGTGATGTCAATGCCAAGAGCCTCTACAGGGTTCTCACTGCTCAAACAAGGTTCTGGCTTTTCAGAGATGCTCTTCTTTTTTTGGCATGATGGGTTCTAAGAAAGGAAAAGAATTAGACAAAATAATATATCTTATAGAAAAGTATGATGTACATTTAAATTCCATTATTTCAGTACTTATTTTTGATAATAGCAAATAGTGAAAGTAATGAAACATGCTTTTGCTTATTTGTTTATTGAAAGTTTAAGTAAGACTGGTATGGTGGTGCCCTAATCCCATATTTAGAAGTGGGAGGAAGAGGACTGAGGCCAGCTTTGCGTACATAGAAAGTTCAAGGCCAGCCCGGGATACACAGTTAAAAACAAACAAGAAAATAAAACAAGCAAAAACATTTAGAAGTGATAAAATACATTATCTTTGAATTGTTAACTTAGTTCCAGGTCACAGACATGTAAGAAATGTGGCTGGTAGCCCTTCGAGAGGGCTATGCCCATATGTGGACAATGCAGCAACTATGGCATCAGATAGATGAGCTGTGTGGACTAATGGGATTTAGAATTCACTAGGTGCTCCTGGCCTTATCCAGGTACAGACTGTAGGACATCTGGGTATTGCAGTGACCTGTACTCTGCAGGAAGCTAGCTATGAAATAATGTATGTCCTGTAGAGGAATCCCGAGACCTACAAGTTTGGAGGGAGGATTCCTCAGCATCTCTGTGTTTTTACACATTCTCATTCCTTCAAATTCCATTTTGGTTCTCAATAACCCATGTTTGGTCCAAACTAACCCTAGTTTCTAGAAATGTCCTTGAAATTCCTAGGAAAGTCCACAATTATGCACATAGCATTAACAGAAGAATTCCCTTCCACTCATAAAACGCTGATGCCTAAGCATCTGGGATATTCACCTACCAAGCTTAGCTGCCATTCCCATCCCTGAAGAAAGGCACTATTGCTTTCACTTTGATAGTAACCTTGCTACTATGCTTACATCTCTTCTATGTCTGTCTTTGAATTCTTGCTCTAATCATTAAAGTCTAATGAGACAAAGAACTTCTGGGTCCAGCAAGTCAAGTGACAATTGCATTTTTAAATAATTTGCTATTTATTCAAATATTTGGGTATTCAGCAAAAGTTTCTACTGAAATCTATTCATTAACTCACCTTGTCAGAGCCAATCAATTCCTTGTGCTTTTTCATCACACAATTCAATACATCACAGACAATTTGGATTTTCCATTCAGCAAATCCAGACTGTATAAACTGCTTTTTTGTCAAAATTGGTTTATAATCAAATTGATCACGAAGAAGCTGTGAAGAAATAAAGGTAATATTTAGTTCAAAATTACATAGCCACTTGGTCAGAAGGTAATAGCTACACACACACACACACACACACACACACACACACACACACACAAATCACAGTACTTGACCAAACTTAACGGTAAACATTAAGGTTCTTAAAAATCAAAACTAACTGACATCAAAGTTAGTCTCCATCCAGGTGTGCAGATGTTACTGTAGATATGAGACCTGGTTTCAGATCTCAAGGAACAATGTATATTGTACTATAATTCACACTATATACAGAACAGGGACATGTTACAAGCTTGTAGCTCAGGAGCAATAGGCTATGTGTACAGACAACATTTAGGTCTATACAAGCACACTCTGATGCTTGTCCAATGGCAAAATTGCCTATCAATGCATTTCTCAGGATGTGTAACACTGCTAAGGAAATATGCAACTGTGTTTCGATAATTATTACAAAGTATTAATTTTAAAAATCATTCGACAGTTTCTCAAGTAATTATTGTTTTGTAAACTCAAAATACCTTATAGACGGTATCTGTGAAGCGCACATCATTCTTTGCTATGAGCTCTATGTTGGATTCCATCAGAAGTTCTGCTATATAAGGGGAGTATGAGGTAAGAGAATAGCTGATGATGGGCAAGGATGCTGCGGTGTCCCCTCTCATCAAACTGCCAGGGCAAAGGGAAAAGACTCAGTAAGCACAGTTCCAAAAGCAAGCTGATTAAGGAAAATTAGCAGACACAATAATGACGTAATTTCTGACTCTCTAGATTCTATGTCCTACTCTAAACCACTGAGTATGAAACAGTACTGCTCATCTTCATGTGCTCAAAACCTCACTCCAGCTGTACAGTCTATCTTTTACAGTTTTTATTGTTTTCTAAAGTTTATTCTTACTTGATATATCTTATTTCTCCCAGTAATACAACCCTACAGCTCTCAAAAATATTTTAAGGTTTTGTAACATTTGTTACGTTAACCCATTTGTTCCAACACAAACCTGCAAAGGTTAATCGTATGAACTCTAAGTTACAAATGAGGAACACCCTGGAAAGTGTGAATGCTAGGATTAGACATTCCCCTTCTGCTTGCACGAGAACTGCGCCTTCTTAGCTTGTGCTCATGTCTAGCAGGGTATCCTACACTTTGCCTTCTTTATTCACTGTAACTCACTAGGTAAATGCCGATTTTCATGAAGCCATCGTCTGATCCATACTCATCTCTCCATACCTGCTGCCCCGTGCTGTCAGAGTCTAACTGTCTAACTATTTACTGGTGCAGAATGTCCTACTGATGGCTGCACAAAACAGCAAATGAATTATTTCTCCCATTAGCCAGTACTACTGGTTAACTAAAGTTATACTGTTCTTACATATAAACAGCATATTTTCCACAGAAATCTCCACCCCAAAATTTTAAAAAGATTCTTTTATGTTCGTGTATGTGTGCCAAATAAGTGCACATACCCAGAGCACAGGCAGATGTAAGACACCTGATATAAGTGCTAAGCACTAAACTGTATATACATCAGTCTAGATATTCTCTCCATATAATTTTAAATTCAATGGGATATAATGGATTTATTAATTATATAATCTTCCATTCTTCATTCTACAAAATTGTATTCATTTTAATATAGCCAATAAGATCACAGATGTTACTATTTCTTGCAAATTTATTTTTTTGTGCATTCACTGTACAAAAGATAGATTTCATACATTTACACCATGCGTTCTCTTAGGATGGAAAATTCTAATTGGCGAGATTTCTTATGGCAGCCCCCATTCTTTAAAATTTGGTTGGACGATGGCTCAGCAGTTAAGGGCACCTGCAGCTCCACCCGAGAAACAGTTTAATTCTCAGCACATCAGCACACACCCCTCGGTACAGGTATGGAGCACAAAGGACATTTTGAAGGCGCTGCACCTCTAGTTTCAATGTGAGTCCTGAGAATACAAGTCAGGGTCATCAGGCTTGGCAGTCAGGTCCTTTACCAACTTGTTAGCCCTTTATTTTCATTTAAGACCTCCACCCCCCACCAAGTCCCACACTATCTCAAACTTTTAGCAAAATGAAAAAAAGCACAAATAAGTTTCAAATACCAAATGTACTATAGCTTACCCAACATAATCCACCTCATTCGGGTAATTGAGCAAACGAAGTACTTGTTCCAGCTTCCGCAAGCTTCTTTTTAAGTCGCCTGTTGCCATTATTGAATATTAGGTTCAGCTCCCACTCCTAAAAAATCTTGTAACTTTTTATCTAAAAATACAATTATATGAGTACCAGTTAAGTGCGTGCTTTGGGAAGTTGCTCTGCTCTACTCTGTGTGCGCCTCTCCCAGGCCCCATACATTTACAGCACACTACTTTACTTCTTATAGCAGTGCTTTGGTGGCAGGTGAAGTGCTTACTGCATGGTACTGACTCTAAACCCTAAATATAAACTTAGCATGAACCACACCCTTTACTTTTTCCTCACAAAAATAAGTTTGCCTTACATTTATATTTGTTCAATGTATTTTATCTAGCACTCTCCCAAATGTTTTACCTTGATGATAATGGACTACAACAGTTACCTCTGTGCTGTGACCAAATCCCTAACAGAAGGATGACACCCAGTGGAAAAGTGGCCCCTTGGTTCAGTGTTTGAGAGGATATAGACCCTTATAGCATGGAAACCATGGTGACACACAGCTCCAAGGTGGCAGGAGTGTGTGGTGGCTGCTAGCTGACATTACACCAGTGCAGAGGACAGGACAGTACAGAGGTGGGATCAGGCTGTCATCTCAAAGCATCTTCACTCCCCAGGCCATTTCCTTTAGCTAGGTTCGACCTATCAAAGATTCCACAACCTGTCAATTAGCACGCCAAGCTGGAGACCCAGAGATCAACCAGAAGAGCCTATGGAAGACATTTTTCATCCAAACCATAGCTGGTACCATCTGAAAAAATATACCAAGCTGAAGTAGTCTCCACCACTGGTTATCTTGAATGTTTATAAACGCTATATAAGCATTAAGAAATGAAGATAAACAGCAAAGATTTAGTTATTATCCCCATGGTTTGGATTTCATGTAGTTGCCAATCAGATGCTTGTGTTCAGAAACAAAACAAACTCATAGTTCACCAACAGCTTGCTCAAGAAAGTTATGAAAGTACCCAGAGAAATAGATTCTCTGAGAATGAAACTCCTTTAAAAAAAAAAATCACTGACATTAAAAACAAAAAAGAACAAGTCAGGAATTAGATGAAATATACTTTATGTGATTTTCTCCCAGTCTACATTTCAGCAACTAACATTAAAATGGCCCCTTCAGATACCTCCTCTGAGGTAAACAAACCTGGCAATTTGCAAAATTCTAAGCCTGGGCCACCACCCATTTCCACAGTCATTTCCCTAGATCTGGGCACCCTATTCTCTCTCTGCAGGAATACCATTCCCATTTCCAGTCGGCTCCTTATAATCATGGCGTAGAATAAGCGCTGAACATACTTTTAAGCACTCTTGCATTGGCATTTTGGTCACCATTTTTGAAACATTAAATTACATTGATAAAAGATTAACATATCTAGACAATGAAGACATTAGGGAGAAAAAAAAAGGGAAGCGATCCTAAAATCAAATTATACAAAATACTGATTAATACTGTAAGCCTTCTTTCACATCTTTGCAGATGCCAGGGCTAGACAGACATATGGAAATGGTAAGACAGACTTCCCACACTAACCTTTATTGTCTAGAAAAGGTGAAGTGGGAACTACTCTTGCTGTAACTAAAAACCTTGTTCTTGGGATTTAAGATTTCAGGTCAGATCTTGTTTTAGGTTCCAGATCGATCTGATTTAAAGCAATCTTTCCTTTCAATCCTATCCCATCTTCCCAGGACATGTGATTTTATCAAATACTCTGCGGTATCTTTTCTTTTTCTCATATTCTAGAACTCATTTATCTTTATATTATTTCTACCTCTGGTAATAAAGTTTCTGAAAATAAAGTATGTCTCGGAACACATCCTCTTCATCGCCAGCAGAATAAATATTTAAAGAAGAGTAAGATTCAAGTACAGCTTGGATCTGTAGGTGAAAGGAATAGATGAGATGACAAGAAAGAAAAACACAAAGATGTTAAAGGAAGATCATAGAAAAAATGCTCACAATAAAGATTTCCTAATATTTTTACTTGGTAAACACTAAAATCAAGATTATTAATTGAATCCAATCGAGTACTGTTACATACTTTACACTTGATCTTAGTCAAAAGGCCAGAAAGTGATCTTCAACATATTTCTGAGATGAAAAAACTTACTACTTAAAAATAAAACTGATTTTCATTTTCACCTTATATGACCTATCAAAAGACATTAAATAAAGAAAGTATACAGATTCAATCATTAAAGTCTCAATAGTCTACCGAGTTTTTTGAAGAATTAGGAACAAATCAAATCTGCCGACTGAATTTCTGGGAAAAGTTGTGAGAACAGCACAACTTGAATTGGTGGGGAAAGGGAATTAAACCCAGGGCCTTGGCATACCACTCAATGGCTCTACTATTGAGCTAGATCCACAGCCCACAGTCTAAGATTTTTTCATTTTAACCCCATCTCAATTTCATAGTTGTTACAGGTCTTTAAATACATTAGGTGTCACTGAATTTAAAAATCATTTTGTGTAGGATGAAGTAACTAGACTTTAATAATTGCAATGGATAGCTATGATTTTGAGTTCCAGCTCAAATTTCTACAAACCACATTTTTAGATAGAGAAATACAGATCTGTAGCAATTAAATTTACAAAATCACTTCGTACTATATAGATACTAGGAAAATGCTGTTTCAAGAGAAATGTTTTTGATGAGGGATTTAAAAAAGGAGTTAGCTAGGTAAAATGTGAGCAATAGCTCAGTGGCACCACTGTGTTTACATAGAAAACTGATAGAAAAAAATGCTTCAAAGTAATTCTGTAAAACAATCTGATGCAGCTCTAAGTCTAGAATAAATAAATAAGTTAAGATTAGTCTTCTTCCTATAGAGAGAAAAATCTGTAGTCTTTAAAGTAGATGGAGAATTCTTTAAAAGCACCATGAAAACATGAAGGGCTGACTCCTCCAGCCAGTCTAGACGAATCCTTGATTGAAAAGACCCAAGAGACATCGGCGATCATTTAAACTCGCAGAATTAAGTCACACACCAGTTCTAAAAGAGGTGGACTGCCAGTCTTTCTACTTGGTTGCCTTCCAAAGCATCTCCCAGTTGGGTACATAAGCAAGTCCCATCTAGGGTTCCCCTCGTGCCCCTAGGTGTGAAAGGATGAAACAGTAGACCTGATCATTTGCCTACAACTCCGTAACCTCGGTGAGTACAGCATTCAGGCGACTCTGTCCAAGCCGGAGCACAGCCCGTCCGCAGCTTCTGGCCCAGCCAGCAGCCGCCAGGCAAAGGGCAGGGTCCGGCAAGGCGACCGGACCAATACGGAAAGGGGAAGGGAGCACAAGTAACTCGAGAAAGTGGCGGGAACCAGGCGTCCAGCTCCGGAGCCCTAGCGCCCGCGCCCCTGGGCGCCTCTCGCGCCGACCGTTTGTATTCGGAACCGTGAGTTCGGCCGCGCCGCGAACAGGGACTAAACGTTCCGAGCCACGGGTTGCCCCACACTCTGAGATTCCTAGGTACAGATTCCATACTCCGTTTGCACGGTTTCCTCGGAAGGCTTGAATCGCAGGAGAATCTTATTAATTACATACCTTATAGTAAGTGTCATGTTTCAAATAAGTACAATTTTTATGGCTGTAATCATTCAAAATGAGAAGCGAGAAATAAAGACGTCCTGGAGAATCTGGAACTGCGAAAGTGAAACCGTTATTCTTTAAGAGCCCCCTCCGCGACGTCACTTCCGGCAACAATAGGAAACGTCAAAAACTTGCCCTGTCCGCCACTCCGGCTCCGGCAGGCGGAGGTGCTGCGAGTTTTCAGGAGGCTGGGGCTGTTTCTGGTGCTCCCGCAGCAGTCGTGTTCCCCAGCGTGAACGCGTGCGGTCTGCACAGGCCTCTCCATGGCTTGGGCATCGGTTCCCGGCTGAGCCATTTTCTGTTCGGCTGACAGCTCCCGCCCAGAGGCTGAGTCGTCGCGGCGGCGGTGGAGATCGCAGGTCGCTCAGGTACTAGAGTTGTCCCCGATACTTTCGAGGCCTCGCCTCTTCCACCTCTACGCTTTCACTTTCCTGCTCGGGAATCGAGACGGAGGGTGCATGCCACTTGGCAGCACCGGCCACTTAAGCTGTAGTTTAGGACCAATGACACGGTACGACATTTTGAGTGACAGCGGCGGTGGCTTATTAAAACGGTGTCTCGCTGTCGAGAGGCGGGCGTGGGTCTCTTCCTTCTCTTTCAAGGCCATTGGTACAGAGGTCGAGTTGGGACTCGCCGGCAGCGACGCGGTGTCGTCTTCAAAGAAAGATGACAAATGGTGAAGGTTACTTTTTTAAGGTGTGTGTGTTGCTTTTATGCTGGTGATTGTGTTCTTAGGTGCCCAGGCGCTCTGATTTTTTAAATGACATCCCATTAATACGGATCCAAATATATACAGTTTAGGATCACTGCTGATTGCTAGTTGCTACAAATGTCAATTTGACTATAAAATTGGTTAAGTTCTTGTCTTTTGTTTTTCTGTGACTAGTCTACATTTCCCACATGATATATATTTAATACATATTTCTCATCAGACAAAAATCATATCAATTTTCAATTCCTGTTCGATATATTTTAAGCTTGCGTTCTGTATTTACTAATTAATAATTGTGGCTACTTGGTTTACAGGCCAAACGTTTATTTTTAGGAACTCCCCAGTGGTCTCTTCAAAGCATTACCTGTATTATTGCAATTGAATGCAATTTGTTTTTTACTTCAGCGTTTGCCCTCCCCTTTTCGCTTTATTTTGAGACAGGGTTTCCTATGTACTTCAGGCTGGTTTACAATTCGCTCTGTAGCGCGACTGTTCCTAACTAGTAATCCCTTCGACCTGGCTTCCCAAGGCTCAGAATATGGATTTGTAATCGCCCACTACGCCCTCTTCCCTTTCGTTTAATGTCTGAACTTTGGTCCTTACACTCCTAAGTACCTTTGTGAAAATGATTTGCAGAACGGGGTCTCATAATGAAGAATAAATAAATTGATTGTATTCAGGTTAATTTAGAAACGTCCATCTTTATGAAGTTTGTCCAAATGGACAATTATCTGAGATACTTCATTACTTATGTCCTGCTGGTTAACAGTTATCCCTAAATTTAGGACAGTTTAAAATAGCAAACATAAATTATTCTGGTTTCTTTGAGTCAAGAAGTAGGGCAACATTCAACAGAGTATTTCAGGTTGTTTCTTGAGGTATCAGTTAAGCTATAGTTGGGAGTTGTGATACTATTGAAAAGCTCAATGTATTGATATGGGGTAAGGATCTGCTTCCAAGGACATACATGTGGTTGCTGGTTGGCCAAGATTCTCTGCCATTTGGGTTTCTTCATTTCACTACCTTACAGAATGGTAGTTGATTTCCTCTACCACAGGCAATCCAGGAAAGAGGATCCAAACTGAAGGAAGATACCTGTATTTTATAATCTAACCTTAGAGGTGATACCCTATCATTGCTGCCGCCTGTATTTGTTAGGAGACTTAAATCCAACTCACATTAGAAAGGCAGAGTATAACACAGTCCTCAAAGCTCAGGAGACATTTTGGAGGCACCTGGCATAGATACTGTCGCTGAGAACTTTTAGCAGTTAAAGAAGTTAATAAGTAAGAATAATTGAGGCAAAATATGTCCAAAAGAATTTAAGACAAGGGGGAGAGAAAGCCTGATTTTGAAGTGATATGTACTAGTATCAGCCCTTCCTGAAAATTAGTTTTAAATCTATTTTATATTAATTATATGAAAGAATATCATTTATCATTTAACCACTTGAAGAATAGGGTGTCTGAGGTTTTTAGGGTCTACATATCACAATTGGAGATTGTGTATTTCTTACTTTTTAATATAGCTGAAATCTGGTCAAAATGAACCTATCAAAGATAGCCTTTTGAAAAGGGAAACAAGTAAAGAAAGGCTAGGTAGGGGTGGATATAGATAAAATGCAAGTCAGTGGCAAATTTGTGCTAAACCCATGCGATCAAATAGGGGTGGGAAAGATGTGTTTTTGAAACATACCTTGAATTTTTTAAAAAAAGAATTAAATGGCATTTGTGAGTGGTAGTGGTAGCAGAATAAGCTATACCCCTTTTTGCTACTTGTATCCCAAGGGGTGCTTTTTAGAAACCTCTCCTCAAGTGGAGTCAAAATACTTTTAACTATACTGAAAAAAAAAAAACTACACCATAAAACCACCTCAGGATGAGAACTATGAAGCAATGTTAATTAAGAAATATTTTAGTGTAGATTTAGTAGTAGCATTGAAAGAGGGAGAGGGACTTAAGAAAAAGAGAGTACACACTCAAATGTGCTCTTGGACTTTTGAAGATAGAGTTGTATTCAAGTGTCCTAACAATAGAAATACTTAAAAATTTTAATTACCTTTAAAGTTAGATTATTTGAGGGTTTTACAAAAGTAAATAAAACTGTTTGGGGTCTACTTAGTTTATTCTAGGTACCATTCCTTTAGTACTTAATATATGTTATTTTGTAGGTTTGAGTGAGATCAGATAAGAATATAGGTTTTAAAAAAAAGGTCAAAGTAATCCTACTAACCATGGGTCACAAGAAAGTCAAAACATGTTTTGATTGTACACGTGATTCCTAATCCTGTCAGATTCTTTGGTTCTCAGCAGGTGCGGATTGGCAGCTCTCTTCCTTTCTTAATTGTCCTGCATCATCTGGCACCACCTCCTGTCTATCCACTTCACTGCACTTTATCTGTACAGCTTTTACCATAAACCATAAAACCTTATTGGGAGCAAAAGGTTCTGGCTTCAGGGTTTGTTTGTTCTGGCACTGTTTGGGCTAAGACCCAATATAAAATTGCCTATGCTTCTTCCCAGATTTGAAAGATTCTATAAATTCTTTTTTATTTGTCAACTATTATCCAGATTCACACACATAAAACAAACATATGCAGTTTAAGTTTGGGCAGGAAATTTATGAAGTTTAATTCTAGAATTAGCCATTTACATATTTTTTTTTTTGATTTTTGAGACAGAGTTTCTCTGTAGTTTTTGGTGCCTGTCCTGGAACTAGCTCTTGTAGACCAGGCTGGCCTCGAACTCAGAGATCCGTCTGCCTCTGCCTCCCGAGAGCTGGGATTAAAGGTGTGCGCCACCACCGCCCGGCCTACATATTCTTCAAGAATAAAGTGCATAGGATTGTTTAAAGATTTAAATGAAGTAACCAGATTTAGCAAGTAATCCAAACTTAACATTTACCTGCCCATACTCCTTAGCTTTTTAGAGATGTGATGGTGGTGGAGAAACAAGGTGGGAAGCATGGATACTAAATATACCCCACCATCTCCACCAACTTTTCATGTTATTCATTTTTAGATATTTTTCCTCTTTCCTTTGTTTTTATGCAATCATGAAATTGCTTTTCTAGTTTTCAATGTCAGTAAAACAATGTACACAAAGTAAAATGCCTCGTATTATCCAGTGTAAAACATGCAAACCAATGGTATTAAATATATTCTTGGTGGCATGTGACCACTTCCACTATCTCCATAATTCCTGTGTTTCATAAAACTAAAAGTCTATGCTACCAACCATCTGATTCCTGTGACTTTTCCCATGTCCTATAATCCCATTCTATATTCTATGATTTTGGCTACTCTAAGTATTTCATGTAAGCACTGTCATGTAGATTGGTTATATATAGTATTGAAATCTTAACAATATTAAGTTTTTAAATTCATGAGTATGAATGTATTTCTATTTATTTACCTTTAAATTCTATCAGCAACATTTCTACTTTTCATTGTAGAAGTCTGGTTAAATTAATTCCTAAATATTGTGTTCTTGGTATTCTTGTAAGTGAAATTGTTTTCTTAATTTCTTTATCAGATTGTTCACTAGTATATAGAAATACAATTCATTTTTTTTCTGTTTACCTAGCATCCTGCCTCTTTGCGGAATTAATTTGTTAATTCTAAGGGTTTTGCTTTGTTTTGACTTAAAAACTAAGCTCTCACTTCAAAGAGAATAGAAGATAGTTTATTCTAGAGCCAGACATGACTCCAGTCTGAGAACATGGTTTCAGGTTATCCCAAATACCATGTTCCAGCATGTATCGGTTTTGTGACATTTTTATAGCTACAGAACAAAAGTAGCTAGTTCAAGCCACTTTTCAAAAGCAGGGTAAAAAATGAGGAAGGTTATAATACATAGAGGTAATCTCTGCCACAGATTTCAGACGTTGTCTGATACATGCTTAGCTTTTCAGTTGGTGAAAGCTGTTGCTCTGTTAAGTTAATGCATCCCAAAAGGTTTCATGTGACAGTCACAAGGATGTTAGGTCAGACTCAAGTGGGCAATGGATGGCCATTAGGGGGTTAAAAGTAGTCTAAGATAATTTGATTCTGGATCTGCTACATTCCAACTCTCTAATCACAAAATTCC